TGTTTTGAAATAGGAGATTGATGAATGGATGTGACAATACCACAATACTACAAATAGAAACGTCTTAGAAGGTCAGTGCAATTAAGGTAATTCAGGCTATGTCTCTAGTTCAAACTGAAAGCATTGAACAACCATCGTCTCATGGAACTGAGGTCTAAGGTGGTGTATTCGTCTGGCTTCTTATATACAAAATTAAAGCACCTGTCTTAGTTAATCATAATGAACTATTCAATAACAGTGATGATAATAGACAGTAGGTGTATATTAATAGATAGCTAAGAAGCAAAACTGTGTTGTAGTGGTGGTAAAATTATATGCCTAACAAGGACTCCCTAATCTGCTGTTTCACAGAGAGAGAAAACCATTTTGGCATTAACTTTTTTTGAAGGAAAACTTTGTATTAACTATTTTCTTTCATAAATTCTTGTTTACAAAGCAGTGTCTTAATCCATGCCAGGTACAACAAAATCTACTCACTGACCTAACCCCCCTCCAATTCTACTACCCAACCATATGTAAATATGTCTTACAATTTAGAGTTGCATTTCATGCATCTGATGAAGTGGAGAGGAAATGCCATATTAAATTGGTTAGACTTTAAGGTGCCACAGTACTCTTTTTGTTGCTTGATGGTCTAGAGCAGAGTTGGGTTTGGGTGGGGACTAATGCAGCCTGTAGGTGTCTTTCTTTTATCTGTAGGAATCTCGCATGAGAGCCAGTGTGGTGTAGTGGTTAAGAGCGGTAGACTCGTAATCTGGTGAACCGGGTTCGCATCTCCGCTCTTCCACATGCAGCTGCTGGGTGACCTTGGGCCAGTCACACTTCTCTGAAGTCTCTCAGCCTCACTCACCTCACAGAGTGTTTGTCAAGGGGGAGGAAGGGAAAGGAGAATGTTAGCTGCTTTGAGACTCCTTCGGGTAGTGATAAAGCGGGATAGCAAATCCAAACTCCTCTTTGTCGTCGTCGTCTTCTTTTTCTTCTTCTCACCTTCCCAGGCCACAGCCTTCACTGGTCCTGCTCTGTGCTGTCCTCAGGGTTTTTTTGTTTGGGTGGAATGTGTCCCCGAGTTGTGCTAACATCTCTCTCTCTTTTTTGCCTTGATGGAGAGTGGAGAGACCTATTCGTGCGAGAGTGTATGCAGAAACACCAGATTACTTGCTCCGCAAGCTAGCTTTTGTGGATGTACTGTCCGTCATTGTATACCTTCTTGCTGTTAATGAACAAGTTAATAAAGGTATAGCTTTCCTTAAAAGAACTGTGCTCAAAAGATCTCAGAAACCGCCAGGTATATTTTAGTCTTTTTGATCTCAGTTCAAGGGAGAGAGTTGCCTATCCTGGTTTTTTTATATGCATGGCAGCGGCTATTGTTTGTATAGTTTCACAGCTATTTTACAGAATAGGGGCTCAGATATTGCTTCCAATACATTCATATTCACAAATTACAGTTTTAACAGATACTCTTACGCAGGTTATTATGTTTATTTACAAGATACCAGGTGATCCATAGCAATTCATGCTATTTATTCTGTTGCACGCTTCTGAAAGATCATTTACATGCAGTAGAGAAGTGCATGTTCTGCTTCAAAAGCATGTGAAACAAAGCAGTTGCTGATGATCTTTAATAGTCCTGGTTCTGTTGGTAGAGGTGCACAAGTGTTCAAGCTTCTGTAATCAAACATGTTTGCATACCAAAGGAAGTTCAGTACAGTGGTACCTCGGGTTAAGTACTTAATTCGTTCCAGAGGTCCGTTCTTAACATGAAACTGTTCTTAACCTGAAGCACCACTTTAGCTAATGGGGCCTCCTGCTGCCGCCGCACCGCTGGAGCACGATTTCTGTTCTCATCCTGAAGCAAAGTTCTTAACCTGAAGTACTATTTCTGGGTTAGCGGAGTCTGTAACCTGATGCGTATGCAACCTGAAGCATATGTAACCTGAGATACCACTGTATAAGATCATTGGCAACCTCCCCCACCCCCACAAAAGATACATACTTCTGCTAAAAATAATTTCTTAATCAAATGTGTGAAAATGTTATATTTAGAAAATATTATTTCTTCCTGCTTTGTAATGTGAGAAAATAATTATAATAATAATGACTGCTCCCCACATTAAAAGGGGGGTGCCCTTTGTGTGGTCACGTGCAGCCCCCTGGACCCTATGCAGCACCATTAACACAGGCTTGGCTTCACCTTCCCCAGGTGGGATACCGGAGGTCTCCGCCTACCTCAGCCAGTTGCCCAATCCCGCCTGGGGAGGCGTTCCCAAGGTGATCAGTCCGGGTAGGGGGAGGGACCACCCTACCCACACAATAGGGGAAGGATCTTACCTGGGAATCATAAGTTGGCTCCAGAGCTTCTTCCATCCTACCCACCCTCAGTTAAGACTTCTTTTGCAGGTTAACCTTTTCTCCACAGGTACGCGGGCGCTGCTATGTCAAGGTTGCTGTTGAAGGGCCAGAAAGGAATTCTCCTGCATTGGCAGGTTTGCCTTTCCCGTAGCAAAACGTCACAACTTTGGTGGTATCAGGCCTTGGGCGGAATCCTTTAGTCTATCTTCCCTAAATTGGGGGTGGGCATGTAGCGGTGACTCACGCCCCCCTTCTCTTTGTGGCGGCGATACCAGGGGTCCCCGTTAAAGGGGTTGTTTTGAGGGGAGGCTTTGGCCGTACGCCGAGAGGTTGTCATTGCTCTCCCCTGCGACGACGGCGTAACGGGGGCGGGCTCTCTCTGCTTGAACATATGCTCTCCAGAGCCAGCCCCCCCCCACAGGATAACCCTAATGTTCCCCAGATCCCCAGCAGGGGACTGGGAGGGATAAACGCCCAATGCCTGAGCCAAGGTCTACCCACATCTGAAACATAATAAAGTTGTGGCCAATTTTAATCCCATAGCATGGTGTCTTGAGTCGTTATTCCACACGGGGGCCGCCCAGGGTTTTGGGGGACTCTGCCCGTCCACACAATAATAATTCATTTGGATACAGCCTGTGATGCAGTTTTATAAAGTAAGTTACGGTACTTACATTGGGAGGGGGGAAAGACAATCTAGCATTGGGGTGTTGTTGTTTTTGCCAGTTTGAATAGTGTTTTATTTCACATTCAGCGGAAGTGTAGCATGAATAAACAACAGAGTGTGAAATGTGTTCTCCAAATCTTACATTACGCCAAGATCTTTATAGTCTCTGCCACGTCCCATAAATTGTGTAAATAAAGACATTTTAATCTGAGCACAGAATAATTAATTCTGTGCCTTGCTTCAAAACAGAATGCAAAATTCCATTTTTGTGTCTGCAAGGAGACTTTTTAAATTACAGCAACAGGAAGATTTGTCTAAGGAGGAAGAGGAAAGGGTGGGTGCTGCATTCAAATAGGGTTGTTTGAAAGCAAGACTGTGAACTTCAATTGTATCTGTTTAATAGCATTTTTGAAGACCATGTTAGCACCTGCCTGGTAGAGGAAAAGCAAATTCTATTATAGGAAAGTTTGAAAACAGTTCATGAAAGGAATGTTAAAGGCATCAAAGGGGGGTGGATAGGAAGAATGGAATTATTACATACATACTCCCCCAAACGTGACAAATTATCTGTCGGCTCAGTTGTGCATCGTGTGTAATTTAATTGCCTATAGAATAGTATCTTTTTATTATATATCATCTATCTATCTATCATCTATATCTATCTATCTATCTATCTATCTATCATATATCTATCTATATCTATCCTTTGTGATTCATTGATGAAGCACTGTGGATCAGGTGCAAGTATTCTGTCTGTACCAATGCAGTACAACAGCTGCTGATTTTACACTGGTGGCTTGGTTCAACTCTGAAAATTGTTGTTTTTAGGGCATCTAGGCAGCCTTTTGGCTAAGAGGTCCTGCAACCCCAAGATTGCATAGGTGTATTGGAAACATACTTGTTGCATGGTACTATCTCTTCTTACTTTGCTTGGCATTCTAGTGGCCAACAAGACATGGAACCCTGGCTGCTTTCACCTGGGGCAAGGAGCAGCTTTGAGGGGATCTTTTGATGGGGCTGTGCAGGGCTTTTCCCCCACCGGAACTCACTGGAAATCAGTTCCAGCACCTCTCATGTGGGTGTCATTGCCATTATAAGAGAATAAGGGAGGTGCTCATGGTGAGTTCCGGCACCTCTTTTTCTAGAAAAATAGCATTGGAGCTGTGGTGTGGGAGGAAATGGTTGTGGCCCTTCCACAAACACCACATTCCCAGTCCTGTTCCCCCTCATTGCTGCCTTTTTTGGGGGGGGGAGGGGGAAGACCTAATTACCCAGAAACATTAAATGTGCTCACACTTAATTTAGTATAAGTTTTGACTCTCCAAGAAAAGGTAAAGTAACAATCAAATGGTTCTATGACCTCAACATTTCACAGAAGGACAATCTTCAGAAGGTTCCAGGTAGAGGTTGAAAGTTGTAAATAGGTTTTCCAGATATTGCAAACAGATAATTGGCAAGAGTTCCTACCCCCCTCTCTTCAATTTACCAGATTTTTTTCCAGAAAATGATAAATCTGGATTAAATGAGGTTGAAGGAGAGATAAGGGATGGCAATGCCAACATGTTGTGGATGCTTCAGATAATTTGCAAGCATACGGAGTCCCCATCCCACGATAAACACTGGGCAGGATTCAACAAATGAATCTTGTCAGCGAAAGCCCTAAAAAGGGGCTTCTGGCTTCTGCAGTGGGGCTTTCTTCCCGCTCCTGAAATTGAAGAAGGGTTGGGGGAACCCCTAGAACAGCACATGGCGGGGGGAGAAGGGGGATCATTCCACCTGGCAAGCTGAATTGGCAATTGCCTTAGTGCAACGCTGAATTCCTCCCACTATCTTGAAGCGTCCCCAGTAATACTCCTGTCTTCACCCCACAAAATTCTGCCTGACCCGCCCGCCCCCACCCTAACTGTAGAACTTAAGAATTCTTAATAGAATGTTTAATCTCATTCTGATTTTATGTATTATATAATAGTTGCAGCTTCAGCATGTTCAGGGATAGCTCAGATAGCAGAACATGAGACTCTTAATCTCAGGGTTGTGTGTTCGAGTCCCACATTGGGTTGGACTAGATGATCCTCTGTCCCTTCCAACTCAACTATTATGTGATTGTATTCCAGGAATTATTGGGCTTTTTGTGAATGTTCATTATCTGGACAGGTGGTTGTGGGGGAGACGAGTAAAAACCAGCTCAGGATACAGTGTCAATCTCTGACATTTGTTTGGTGTGTCCACATTCTGTGTAAATGTATTTGCATTTACATTCATCTGCCTTCAGAGGTTTTTAGTGGGATTCTATACATACACACTCAGAAGTAAGGCCTATTGAGTTCAGCGGACCTTTATCCTAGGTAAGTGGGTGTCAGATGCCAGCTTTATAGGCACAGTGATGCTGTCTGGGCTTGATGGGAGTTGTCGTCTAAAACATCTGGATGGCACCATGTTAGGGAAGGCTGCTCTAGATTTTAATTCAAGGGTGCAATCATTATCTCAATGACTGCAGTCTGTGTAAAGTTCAGTGGGAGTTATATAAATGTCCATTGATACAAAGACTGGCTTTGAAAGAAATGGTGGAATGGGGACAGTTTATGCAGCAATTTCCATCGATTTACAAATAGAGCTAGTCGTTTTAACAGTGCAGTCCTTCAGTGTGTTAACTGCTGCTTAAAGGTAAAGGTAAAGGCACCCCTGGCCGTATGGGCCAGTCTTGCCAGACTCTAGGGTTGTGCGCTCATCTCACTCTATAGGCCGGGAGCCAGCGCTGTCCGCAGACACTTCCGGGTCACGTGGCCAGCGTGACAAGCTGCATCTGGCGAGCCAGCGCAGCACACGGAACACCGTTTACCTTCCCGCTGGTAAGCGGTCCCTATTTATCTACTTGCACTTTGACGTGCTTTCGAACTGCTAGGTTGGCAGGAGCTGGGACCGAACGACGGGAGCGCACCCCGCCGCGGGGATTCGAACCGCCGACCATGTGATCGGCAAGTCCTAGGCGCTGAGGTTTTACCCACAGCGCCACCCGCGTCCCTTCCTGCTGCTTACTCCCATGTAAATGGTTAAAGAATTGCAGCCTAAAGTGTCATTTTTGCATTGGAAAATCTATCCCCAAGGAAATGAAAGCATGCTTTTTGGTATGCTTGTTTTTTAACCAGTTTCTGGGACCCCCCCCCAAAGATTATTCTGTCTCTAAAAGAGAAAAGCACATACTGTTTAAAGCAAGCCAGAAATTACTCATTTGCAAATAATCCCTTGGATATTTGTGAGGCCGCTTGTGAGTAGTCATAGGATTTAGATGCAAATATATACTTAAGTGAATAGTGCATGACAATGACGTTAATGTAGAAAAACTCGGATATCCATTTTTCTACAAGTTTTCGAAAGGAAGATGTCCAAAAGCAATATAAAGCGGGTAGCAATTGCTGTTCGGATCTCTTTAGACTTGCAAATGGGTCCCTGCTTCTTTATTCTTTGCTCCTTGGAAGATAGCGACAATATTTGTACTGCTCTTGAATTGTGAAGAAGAACCTTTACCATGGAGCAACAACTGTGCCAGGGAAAATGGAATGGAATGACCATAGCATGTGCTAGCTTGGCTCCCAAATCTGGGTTTTGCCCTGGAACACTTGCAGGTTTTAAGTGACCCTTTCAGCGTAGAATCATAGTAGCATAGAATTGTTGAATCCAAACCCCTGCAATGCAAGAAGCTCAACTAGATCATGCATGATAGGTGGCCATCCAACCTCTGCTTAAAAACTTCTGAGGAAGGAGAGTCCATCACATCTAGTGGGAGGCTGTTCCACTGTCAAAACAGCTCTTGCTGTCAGAAAGTTCTTGCTGATGTTTAGTCGGAATCTTCTTTCATGTAACTTGAGGTCATTACTTCAGGTCCTACCCATTGTAGCAGGAGAAAACAAGCTAGCTCCATCCTCCATGTGACAGCCCTTGAGATATTTGAAGATCATATCTCCTCTCAAGTCTCCTCTTTTCTAGGCTAAACATACCCAGTTCTCTCAACCATTCATTCCTCATAAGGTTTGGTTTCCATATCCTTTAATCAAAGCAAGAAGATAAGCAAGTGAAAGGCACTTTTAGCCCCTGAGGCTACCTGAGTCTCCAGTGTCTAATTTCTTGGACATGGGGACCACTCTCTCACAGTGCCTCTGCCTTGCCAAGATTGAAGCTCAGAGTACTTTCCCTCATCCATCCCACCGCTGTGCCCAGCGGTCTGCCCAGCTTCTCCTGACTCAGGTGCTATGGAGAAACAGAGCTGGTGGCATCTAATCCCAAAACTCCTAGTGATCACTTCCAGCAGCTTCATGTACATATTAAATAGCATTGTGGATATCATACCTGTGGAAGTTTTCATGTATGGTGAATCCCAGTTTGCTGCAGTATAAAACTAAATTATATCCTGAAATAAGCACAGATGTGTAGATAGAAGTGAAAACATTTAATATTTTATGAGGGTTTTTAATGTGGAAGACACTGCAGTGTAGTTTTAAAGCCCCTCTCTTTTTCATATGTGATTTGTCTTACATTTTTTTACAACATACAGTGGTGCCCCGCAAGACGAATGCCTCGCAAGACGAAAAACTCGCTAGACGAAAGAGTTTTCCGTTTTTTGAGTCGTTCCGCAAGACGAATTTCCCTATGGGCTTGCTTCGCAAGACGAAATGTCTTGCGAGTTCTTGCAAGTTTGTTTCCTTTTTCTTAAAGCCGCTAAGCCGTTAATAGCCGCTAAGCCGCTAATAGCCGTGCTTCACAAGACGAAAAAACCGCAAGACGAAGAGACTCCCGGAACGGATTAATTTCGTCTTGCGAGGCACCACTGTACATGCAGGCATGTTTTTAGAATTTGGCGAGAATACGCACCTAACTTCTACTCACAAGCAAAGGATTGCAGCAGGAAGTTACAACCTATCAAGGCATGATATAGCCCAGTTCCTGTTCATTGCAAGCCCCGTTTGCATCAGAGGAGGTTAAAGAGTGCCCGTGTTTCTTGAGCTGCACCTTTTGTTATTATGCAGCACGATTACTTATTATTCCTGCCCAACAAAGCCGAAAATGTGGTTATTGTATAAGCATTTGTTTATCACAGTTTAGCCCATTAATCGGAACAATGCTTGGAATAAAATCTGCATCAGCTAATTGTATTCCTTAGTGACGAACCATTCATCATGTTTTTAAGTATGAGTTTCTTCATCATCCCCACCTACTTAATTTGATACCTAATTATTTGTGGGAGTAGTACGTTCACTTTCTGCTTTATATTTAAGGGGCAAATCTGCTTGTTCTTCATTGAAATGCATTGCAAATCTGTAATTTTTTTAAACATAAGAGAGAGTGAGCTTGTTCTTTAACTAGAAAAATACCAACAAAATTGTTGATCTTTGGCTGACTGCGCTGCAAAGAAGAAGAAGAAGAAGAGTTTGGATTTGATATCCCGCTTTATCACTACCCTAAGGAGTCTCAAAGCGGCTAACATTCTCCTTTCCCTTCCTCCCCCACAACAAACACTCTGTGAGGTGAGTGGGGTTGAGAGACTTCAGAGAAGTGTGACTGGCCCAAGGTCACCCAGCAGCTGCATGTGGAGGAGCGGAGACGCGAACCTGGTTCCCCAGATTACGGATCTACCGCTCTTAACCACTACACCACACTGGCAGTCGGCCTTTTATGTGTTCTTGCCCGGCTGGCCAGCAAGAAAGTTCCCCATAACTTGGGCCCTGATTGGCCCATTTGAACCCAGCTTACTGGCCAGGCAGTCACGCCCCCATGGCTGTGACAGCCAGGGGAATTCCCCATCAGCCAGCAACCATGGGGTCCAGCTGCCAGGAAGGAGGCGGGCAGTGATGATCTGCAATCGACACCCAACTGGGAAACGGTGAGTGTCATAAAATGTGAAACAGCATAGCAGAGATAAAACTGAGAAAACAAACAGGTCTTTGCCTGCCACAGAAATGGCATCAAGGAAGGTGGCATGTGAGCTTTTCTGGGAAGGGCATTCCAAAGTCTAGGCCCCAACATTGAAAGCTCACCACTCTCCGCCAACCTGCTATGTTTCCCTTGGCTGGGGAGCACAAGAAAAGGCCTCTGATGAAGTCATCTTAGGTAGCATCCATTGATAGCCTTATCAGTTATGCCAGCGTGAGTGCAATTGTTATATTGATGCCACCATAGTGTTAGCAGTTGACTTAAAGTTTTATTGGTATAATGAAACCATTATAGTCTTAACTTCACCACCCCAATATTATTTGGACATATGCTAGCTACAGCCCTATTCTTGACCTTGTCTAGCTAGTGTAATGTGAGGATAGCACTGTACCGTAAGATGTGAACATACTTGTTAGGGGCCACGGAAGGCTAAATATCCATGTTTTCATGTCAAGAAAGATTAAATGGTTTTGCAGAAAGGGAGAATACCATTTTGATAAGGACGGTCTTCTCTAAAGTGAGTGCAAGACCCTGAGAATTGATTCTCTCCAGCCATCAGTAAATCACCAACCTGCTGCTCAGGGGAAATACCTGTAAGAACAAAACAGATCGCATATCCCTAAACTGGTAATGGGAGCTTCTTGATCTATGAAGCAACAATTGAAAATACAAAATCTTCTGCTAGTGGAAGAGATACCAAGCAGGCTTTCTCCCAGGAAGATATCTATCTGATAATGTGAGAAACATAATTAATATTTTAGAAAAATTACAAGAGAACATAAACACTAAGGCAGTTTTAATCTTTGTGGACGCGGAGAAAGCTTTTGACAACATTTCTTGGATTTTCATGAAAAAAAACTTACAGGGTATGTGGGTAGGCCAAGGCTTTGAAAATGGTATAAGTGCAATATATTCTGAACAAAAGGCTAAATTAATTGTAAATAATGTGGTGACGGAGGAAGTTAAGATAGAAAAAGGGACACAACAAGGTTGCCCAATCTCCCCATTGCTTTTTATATCGGTCCTGGAGGTTTTGCTGAATATGATAAGAAGGGACCAGTTGGTTAAAGGTATACAGGTCGGAGCCAAACAGTACAAATTGAGAGCATTTGCAGATGACTTAGTATTGACGTTACAGG